GTAAAATAAAATCCTCATTTCAGGAAGCATTTAGCCACTTGGATATATCTGATAATCATCCCTTCAGAACATTTAGTTTTTTGATAGTATTTTTAATTGTGATTGTGAGCTACCACAGAGAACCCATCAAAGATATAAATTATTGCTTATTTGTTAAAAATTTTATTTAAATTCAAGTTATTTAACACATAATGTATTATTAGTTTCAGGGGTAGAATTTAGTGATTATCAGTTGCATATGATACCCAGTTCTCATTACATCAGGTGCCCTCCTTAATGCCCATCACCCAGTTAACCCATCCCCCCCCCATATAATTACCTGTTTGTTTGGATTTTTTTTAAGATTTTATTTATTTATTCATGAGAGACACAGATTGAGAGAGAGAGAGAGAGAGAGAGAGAGAGAGAGAGGCAGAGACACAGGCAGAGGGAGAAGCAGACTCCATGCAGGGAGCCCAGATGTGGGACTCAGTCCCGGGTTTCCAGATCACGCCCTGGGCTGAAGGCGGCACTAAACCGCTGAGCCACCCAGGCTGCCCTACTTACCTGTTGTTTTTTTTTTTTAATTTTTTATTTATTTATTTATGATAGTCACACACAGAGAGAGAGAGAGAGAGAGAGAGAGGCAGAGACACAGGCAGAGGAAGAAGCAGGCTCCATGCACCGGGAGCCCGATGTGGGATTCAATCCCGGGTCTCCAGGATCGCGCCCTGGGCCAAAGGCAGGCGCCAAACCGCTGCGCCACCCAGGGATCCCTACTTACCTGTTTTTAATGTTAAAAGTATACCTTATACTTCTTAAAGCATTTGATTATATTTCTTATCCTTTAAAAAAAATTAAAAAATCAGCAGTGAAAAATGTCCTAAAATTGTGGTAATGTTTATACCACCACTCTTTAAATATCCCAAAGCCATTGAATTACTCACTTTAAAATGAGTAAATTGGGATGCCTGGGTGGCTCAGCCCAGGGCATGATCCCAGGTCCAGGGATGAGTCCCACATCGAGCTCCCTGCAGGGAGCATGCTTCTCTATTTGCTTATGTCTCTCCCTCTCTCTTTTATGAATAAATAAATAAATCTTTAAAAAATAAATAAAAGGAGTAAATTGCATAGTATATGAATATCTAAAGCTTTTTTTTTAATAAGCTAAAGCAAATATGGCAAAATATTGACATTGCCTGTATTTACTGGTGGCTATATTGGTTTCTATTTTCTCTTTTTCTATATGATGAAAATATTTTATAATAAAATTAAGTATTTATTTGACAGAAGGAAGTGAAGCAGTGGGTGGGTGAAAGAAAATCACAAGTCAGAATTAATCAGAACATCCCATTCTCTAATCATGTTATTAGCTAGCAGAAAATGTATCCTTCTATTTGAGACAGTAATCATTATTTCTTAAAAGTTATCTTAAAGCCTTATTATTCTCACTATACACATACACACATTTAGTTTATTTTAAACTATGCTAGTTTTAATGTATTTATAATGATCTTAGATGCCAGGTAGTATTAAATCTTTATTGTAGAGTAATTGCAGATATCATGTTGAAATGTGTGATAAAGTGCCTCATATGAGACTTTTAATCAAGATCAGAAAAGTTAAAAAAATTAAAAGTAAAAATACTTTGAAATGTTTTATTTTCTTCCTTTTTCTAATATGTATATTTGTGACCATTCTATTTTGGTTTGTGCATAAAGAAACATTTTTTTGTGAACATATATTGATTTTGTAGTTAACCAAATCTTTAAGTCCTATAGTTTTTAGAGGGGAAACACAAGTTTTTTGGGTCCTCTAAATTTAAAGATAATCAGAAATTACTAAACCCTTTTAATATGTTTTGCCATTTCTTTGGATCACAAATTTTTTTAAAAAGCTTAAGAAATCATTTTCTAATTTCATTTGGTAAGAGAAAATACATACTTTGGAATCCCGAATTCAGATTCACTGTTTTACGTGTGTGAAATTATGATGATGTTTAAATGTGTTACAAATAAAATGTGCATAGCCATCTAATAACTTGCACGACTTTTCTAAATAATATGTTAGAGAATAATTCTCTAATACAAAATCCACATTCTTTTGTCTTTAACTGAAGGAAAAAATAGATTATAATTGCCACATTAAAAATTCTTTCTTCAAGAGAAACAATTATGGGTAATGACTAGAGGAATTTCTAAAATAAATTAATCTTGTGAAAGACTCTCTCCGCCCCCCATCCCAGTACTCAGTTTACATAGTATTACAGATTTCTGCATTTGTTGTCTTCTTCCATTTGTCTAAATTGCATCACAGTTTGTGCTTGAATTTGTGTAGTTTGAAAAATGTGCCACATGATTCTGAAGAGTACTACTGTCTGAGAACTGCTGGTATAGAATAACAATACCCAACCAATTTAAAATCTAGATAATATGTTTTTAGCATCATAGTAACATCTTAAATTTGTTAAATTTCTTAATTATTTCTAAATTGTATTGTGAGTTGTTTGTTGAGTTGCTCAAATATTTAATGTTTTCTATAGTACCTTGCTCCTGAAGTAATCAGAAAACAGCCCTATGACAATACTGTAGATTGGTGGTGCCTTGGTGCTGTTCTATATGAAATGCTGTATGGATTGGTATGTATTTCTGCTTTTTCATTATTCTAGTATGTTTTCATTGCTTTGAGTTTTCTCTTTTTTTAATAATCCCAAGGACTCTAGTGACCTGGTTAAGTGAATTCAAAGTCCCTTAGGGATATGCACAAAAGAAAAAACTTCTCCTTTGTTACTGCTCTCTTAATGTAATTATTTCTCTGTCATACTAATCACTACTTACACTAATCAGGTATTCTCATCCCACTTGCATTTTTTAGAAATAAACACTAGCTGTAATAATATTATTCACTTCCATACAGTTTACCCCAATCATCATTCTTAGGCATTCTGCCCAATTTCAAAAAGATGGAAAGAAAAAGATTTTGTATTTATTAGAAGATCCTATCTTTTGGGTTTTGCCTTGTATTTTATTTTTATAGGATTAATACACTGTTCCTCCACTTTTTCCCCCATTGGGAACCTTCCATTCCCTTTACTGTAAACACATCTGGAAGATTTTTTTGCAAAAAAAGGTATATTCGGGACACCTGGGTGGGTCAGCGGTTAAGTGTCTGCCTTTGGCCCAGGGCATGATCCTGGAGTCCCGGGATCAAGTCCCATGTCGGGCTCCCTGGATGGAGCCTGCTTCTCTCTCTGCCTATGTTTCTGCCTCTCTCTCTGTGTGTCTCTCATGAATAAATAAATAAAATCTTTAAAAAAAAAAAAAAAAAAGGAATGTTCACTATGAAATAATTTACCCCAGCTTTTATTAATTGAAGACGCATAAAGCTAACCAGTGCTTCTGATTAATGTGTAAAGTTGTTTTACTACATTAATATTCCAGTCAGGGGTGCCTGACTGGCTCATTTGGTGGCATGCAACTCTTGATCTCAGGGTCTTGAGTTCGAGCCTCACATTAGGTGTAGAGATTACTAAAAAAATAAACTTAAAAAAATACATCATTCCACCCAAAAGCAAACAATTTTGGCACTTCTGTTAGTTTACATATTCTTATAGGGACAATACATTTTTTTCTCTGTACTTTTTTGAGATATTTAATTTCTAGAGTCCTTTTTGGATTCCATAAGTGTCCAGCAGCCTCATGGTGGGGACCATGAACTCATCATCCATGCTGCTGCCCACACTCATCTAAATACCAGCATCAGCTGAGACCTGCGTTGGGGTTTGGGTTTCTTGTTTGGCTTTTTGCTTTGTGTGGGGTTTTTTTTTTCCCTCTGAAAACAGGAGCTCTCGGTGAAATCCAACACATGAGGTACATGTTAGAGCATTTGTCTTATGTTGCTAATTTTGCATGATAGATTCCTATGACAATCAACATTGTCTCTTCTTTACCCTTGCTTATTAAAAGATTTCTTTTTCCGGTTATGCTAGTGACTTGGAATACCTGATATATCTTACTTTTTTTAAGTGCTGGGTATTTACTATCCTGATATTTCTGAGTCCTTTAAATTTCTTTAGAGGACTATGAAAGTGGAAAATAATGTCATTGTATATAAAGTGCAGTTAATTTAAAAGGGAACATTTGAAACATATACTTCACTAAGGACACTTATATTAACTATTTAAAAATAAAGTTTGATTTTAAAAAGTGAAAACGCTTTTTCTTTCCTATAAAAAAGAAAATGACAAGCTATATAACTTGCCTTAACTTTAAAAATTATTTTTAGTTTAAAAGTTAACTCGATGATTAACTGACTAATCCTCATGTTGTACAAGTCTTTAGGCTGTAACAATAGAATTGTAATTCAGCAGGGTGCACCCTTAATGCTGCCATTACCACAAGTACTTAGTAAGGAGTGCAATCTTCAGGTCTCCCATCTCTACTGGAAATCTCTTTTAATTCACATATTCCCAGGTCTCAATAAATTATTTAATGTTTGAGCTGTGTTGAATCTGTGTGCAGTAATTCTTTCATTATACTTTTGATGAGGTTGGTGGTTTTTTCTAAAATATACTATTACAAGTTTTACACAGTTTACACCTACCTGCCTGCAGGGTGTTCTTTAACATTCAGTGAACACATATTGGGTGCTACATCGTGCTGGGTTTTAAAACACGGAGACCACACACATCTTCACATTGGAGACCACACACTGCAGATCTACAGAGGCCTCTGCATTTCTAGAACTGTCCAGACCCCAACTGATCTCTGTAGATCAAGGCCAAATCCAACTCTTTTAACCACATTTTGGCATACTTCAATTAACATTAACTTTATTTTCCTTTTCCCCCCCCGCCAGCCTCCCTTTTATTGCCGAGATGTTGCTGAAATGTATGACAATATTCTTCACAAGCCTCTGAGTTTGAGGCCAGGAGTGAGCCTCACAGCCTGGTCCATTCTGGAAGAACTCCTAGAAAAGGATAGGCAAAATCGACTTGGTGCCAAAGAAGACTTTGTATGTACATCCTTCCCAGTACTCACTTTATTTCAGCTTATTTTAGATTGGAAGACAAATTCTTATTTTATGTGGCATTTACTGGGATGAATACAGCTCTTAAATACCACCATAGAAAAGAAGCATGCTTGTCCCAGCGGTTCTCACCAGTATTTTTATAGGGTTTGAAGCACTTACACAGGCAGTTTTTCATTTGATCTTCTTAACAGTTTGAGCCTCTCCTCACTCTTCCATCCTGCTCTCACACCCCATTATTTATTTGATTTTTGTTAAGAATTTTCCCTCCCTTCTTTTTAAAAAATGTGTGGCATGCATTTTTTGATTGCCTAAACTTTGAAGTCATTGTACTTAAGAATTTATTAAGTGCCTCCTGTCTGCATGAGGTAATGCCTTTTGCCTTGAACTATTATTTAATAACTTTTTTCTTCTGAGAATTTGGTGATATCTCCCTGAGGTAATTCTAAAATCTACAGATTTGGTTTTTTAAAAAATCAAGGTAACTAGGGGCTCCTGGCTGGCTAAGCCAATGGAGCATGTGACTCTTGATCTTGGGGTTGTGGGTTTGAGCCCCAGTTAGATGTAGCTATTCCTTAAAAATTAAAAATATTTTTTTAATTTATTTATTCATGAGAGACACAGAGAGAGGCAGAGACACAGGCAGAGGGAGAAGTAGACTCCATGCAGGGAGCATGATGGGGGACTCGATCCCAGAACCCCAGGATCCTGCCCTGAGCAGAAAGCAGATGGGCTCAACCTGCTGAGCCACCCAGGTGTCCCTAAAAAATCTTTTTAAAAAAATTGGGATAATTAAATTGCTTGTATAGCTACAGATGTTATGTTCACGTGTCAGTAAATTCATGCACTATTGAGGAACATGAACTTTTACATTTCTCATATATTCTTGGGAACTGTTTATTGGTTGTGAATTTGAACTGTGAATAGCAAACTTGTCCGCTACTGCTCTTTCCCTCCACACTCTACACAGTTCAGTAGATCACTCTGCAACAGTTTTCCATCCAGCTTGGATTCATTCCATAGTCCATTGTTCCACTTGGTCTTGTTAATACTTCACACCTTCTTGCCCCTTGGTCCTTTTATGGAGCTCACTGGCAGACATCACAGCCCTGGGTGAGTCCAGTTGTCATCTTCTGGGCTGCTAAATAGGGAAAATAGAATCAGCAGAGCAGAACTACTTCAGCCTCGCTGTCAGATTTGTAGACCTACACACACCTGCTCACTATTGTTTCCTTCTATCTAGTATAGTGGAAAAGGCCAGTTTCCACCTCTGCACTGGATCCTGACTCCTTGCAGAAACCCTGTGTGTGCTTTTTTTCAAAGCACATAACTGTTCTCTTTTGTTAGGGGTCCTTCCAATCAATTATTAAACATTATCAAGTCTCTTGCTTCTTAAACCAAAACCCCTCAACTATGCTTTCCTGCCAAGTAATACTTTTTCCTTTCACAGCCAAACTTGTTAAAAGTTTCTGTATTCATTTCTTTCTCATTTTACCAAAAATAGCTACTTAGAATTGCTGAATTCCTCTATTCCTTGGCTTGCCTTCTCAGCAGCATCTAAACTTCTAACACTCTTTTCCACAGGCTTCTGCAAGAGCTGACAGTCATCTTGTGCTTTCCTTTCTGTATTTCTGGGCCCTCTTCCATAATGTCTTGTATAAAGCTCCTTTCTTCAACCTGATGGTTGAGTGTCCTGGTTCCTTGTGGTTGTCCGAAACCTTCTTTCCTTCTTCTGTGCTCTCTTCCTAGACAGTCTTATTTGGCCCAATGGCTTTGGTTATCTGTGTGTCTATATCTGACACATTTATAACTCCAGTCCAGACCTCTCTTCTGAACTTGAGACTCAGAGGATATCTGCTTATTCAACACCACCCTTCAGATTTCTGGAGAGAACCTCAAACATAGCATGTGCAGAATTGGACTCTTCCCACTTTCCTTTTGTGTGCCTCAGGTTACAAATCCGAGTCATTCTTTGACTCCTCTTTCTACCTTACTTCCATATTCACCACCAGCCAGATCCTGTTGTATTTGCCTCCTAAATCTTCCCATATCCACACACTTATCTGCTTCCTCTGCAACTACTTTTTTTCTACCATTTCCAATTTTTTTTTAAGATTTTATTTTTAGGGGATCCCTGGGTGGCTCAGCGGTTTAGCGCCTGCCTTTGGGGTGTGATCTTGGAGACCCGGGATCAAGTCCCACATCGGGCTTCCTGCATGGAGCCTGCTTCTCCCTCTGCCTGTGTCTCTGCCCACGCCCCCCCCCCACCGTGTGTCTCTCATGAATAAATAAATAAAATCTTTAAAAAAAAATTTTATTTTTAGGTGATCTCTGCATCCAGTGTGGGACCCAAACCCACAACCCGGAGATCCAGAGTCTCATGCTCCACTCACTGAGCCAGACAGGAACCCCTACCATTTTCAACTTGTGTTTGGCCACAGCAATAACTTCTCTTTCTTAATCTGTTCATGGCTTATTTCAGTCCATTTCCTTATTACTATTAGAGTGGTCTTAAAAAACAAACCAAAGATCCCCCGTATTTGTAACACTCCAAAGCTCCCTGATGGCTTCTCAGAATCCTAGAATAAAACCCTAAGTTTTTAACGTAGACCCAATATGATACGGCCTGTTTACCTCTTAGCTTCCCCTTGTGTTACTGTCCCACTCCTTCCCTGTACTTCAGCAGTATTTGACTCTCATTTTCTTGATCAAACTAATCTCTTTGTCACCTAAGGGCCTTCATATTCTCCCTGGAATGTTCTCTAATTTTTGATCAAATGTTATTTCACCTCCAGAAACTCTTTTTAAACCCACCAAACTAGTTTGGATTCTACTTTATACACTCTTGTGTGTCACCTTGTATGGAAAATAACTGGAATCAGTACTGTGCCAGCTTTTGATAATACTAATCCAGAGTGAAATTTTTTTTTATTTTTTGGTACAATAGCTCATCACCTTGATTTTACCTCTGCCCCACTGTGTAAAAAACTTACCTTACTTCTTTTTTACCTCTGCCATTCAGATAACAATTACAATTCTTTGTTTCTATATAGTGCCTTGTTCTTTTCTTTATTTGAGAGAGAGAGCATGGAGAGGAGGGGCAGAGAGAGCAGGAGATAGAATCGTTTTTTTTTTGTTTGTTTGTTTTGTTTTTTATTCACGAAAGACAGAGACATAGGCAGAGAGAGAAGCACGCTCCATGCAGGAAGCCTGGCGGAACTTGATCCCAGGACCCTGGGATCACACCCTGGGCCGAAGGCCGACACTCAACCACTGAGTCACCCAGGTGTCCCAGGAGAGAGAATCTTAAGCAAACTCCATGCTGTGTGCAGAGCCCAATGCAGGACTCAATCCCATGACCCTGAGATCACAACCTGAGCTGAAACCAAGAGTTGGACGCTTAACTGACTGCCACCCAGGCTCCTCATGCCTTAATTCTTTTCATAGGTCTTATTTATGTTTTTTTCCACTAGTCCTTAAAATAGTGTGTGAAGATTCTAGGACAGAAATGTTAACTCTGTTTTACCTATGAAGAATTATGACTGTGAAGAGGATATAACTTGAGTTGGTCATTCTGTATAACCGTCTTTTATGTCTGCTCTGGTAGTCTCTCCACTATACCATCTTGCCTCATGAATACCAGAAACATGTACCTAAAAAGAATTGAGGGACAGAGGGTAATGATTTGGCTTCATTAATTCTTCAGTGAGCACTGAATTTTATTTTTCAACATTAATAAAATATTTCTTTAACATTCTAGCTTGAAATTCAGAATCATCCTTTTTTTGAATCACTCAGCTGGACTGATCTTGTACAAAAGAGGATTCCACCACCATTTAATCCTAATGTGGTAAGTATATATCCAAATCTTGTTTTCTAAAGTAGTGAAATGTAGAACTGTAACTCATAATTTTAGCAATAGATCTCAAAACCTGATGTGAATGAAATAGAATCAGTACCTAAGTTTTTTTGTTTTTTTTTTGTTTGTTTGTTTATTTTTTTTTATGATAGTCACACAGAGAGAGAGAGAGAGGCAGAGACACAGGCAGAGGGAGAAGCAGGCTCCATGAACTGGGATCCCGAACGTGGGATTCGATCCCGGGTCTCCAGGATTGTGCCCTAGGCCAAAGGCAGGTGCCAAACCGCTGCGCCACCCAGGGATCCCAGTACCTAAGTATTTGTAAAATATGTGTCTCAGGGTTGTCTCGTACACTGATAACTTTAAGATGACCAGTAAAATTGTAGTTATAGCGGTAGAAGTATTTTTTAGCATAGTAATTATGAAGTGTGTTTCTTTGAATCATCCCATGGTTAAGAAAGGGATGAGCTCATTAGATTAAAAAATATGCAAATTAAAGTAACTTTGAAGTGTCTCATGCTATAAATCAACAGTTTAACATTAATGCACATTTTTTTCTAGTTTTATTTTAAAGATTTTATTTACTTATTCATGAGATACAGAGAGAGGCAGAGACACAGGCAGAGGCAGGCTCCCTGTGGTGAGCTCCATGTGAGACTCGATCCCAGGACCTCGGGATCGCAACTTGAGCCAAAGGCAGATGCTCAAACACTGAGTCACCCTCAGTGTGCCCCTTTTTTCTAGATTGATATATAGCCAGACACAAGCAAACATTATTAATGGTAATATAAATTGTTAGATCCCTTTTGGGAAAATAAAATGTTCATGTTAGTGTAACTTGTTAAATCAACTGATGGGAACATTTTATGTCATTTTTTTTTTTAAAGAGGAAAGCTTCATCAAAGATCTGTTCACAATATTAACAATGTTGAAAATTTGGGGAAAATGGGCATCTGGGTGGCTCAGTGGTTGAGAGTCTGTCTTTGGCTGGGGTTGTGATCCCAGGGTCCCAGGATTGAGTCCCACATTGGGCTCCCTGCATGGAGCTTGCTTCTCCCGCTACCTGTGTCTCTGCTTCTCTCTCTGTCCCTCTCATGAATGAGTAAATAAAATCTTTTTTTTTTTTAAAGAAAATTTGGGGGGATCCCTGGGTGGCTCAGCGGTTTAGCGCCTGCTTTTGGCCCAGGGCGCGATCCTGGAGTCCCGGGATCGAGTCCTGCGTCGGGCTCCCGGCATGGAGCCTGCTTCTCCCTCCTCCTGTGTCTCTGCCTCTCTCTATGTCTATCATAAATAAATAAATCTTTAAAAAAAAAGAAAAAGAAAAATGGGGAAATAAATACAGAAAAAGCCAATAATGATGTTACTATTGATATATATATATATATATGCATATATACTTTTATGTGTTACAGTGTAATTTATTCCTCATGCTATCAAGTTACTACCATTACTATCTTTATTATACATGTTTTATAAATGGAGAAATGGAAGGTCAGAGATGTCCCAGAGCTGGATTAAAAAGTACCAGAGCAAGGATTCAAATCTGTTCCGCATTCCAAAATCACTATTCTTTCTATGCTTTTTTATGTTTGTTTGTCATTTCTTGTTAAGTGAATGGCAATAATAATAAATATAACAAGGAGTGGGCCCTTAGAAAATCTTTATAATGTTTAAATAAAAACGTGATAATCCTTAGAATATCAAATAAAAAACATGGCAATTTTTGTGATATGCTATTATAGCAGTAAAATAATGTATAAGGACTAGAGAGATTATAATATAAACCAAGATTGAAAAAAAATAATATAAACCAAGATTGATTTGGGGTTGCAGGATCATAGGTGAATTTTTTTTTCTTTTATTTAAAGTTTTTGGTGTTATGGAATTCATGTCATACTTTTTCAGTATTAGTGCAGAATAAGGAAATCACTTCAGGAAAATATTTAGTCTACTCAGATTCTTTTTATCTCGAATGTCTTCCTGAGTTTAGTTATCCCCAAATAAATATGTCATCAGGCACGTTAAAGAGACGTACTCCTAAGCAGTACTGGAAATGGAAATAATGTTGACTTCAGAGTCAGATACCTCCATTTGGATCCCCGATCTTTTAAGAATAATTAATTTTTTTAAGATTTTATTTATTTATTCATGAGAGACAGAGAGGGAGAGAGGCAGAGACACAGGCAGAGGGAGAAGCAGACCCCATGCAGGGAGCCTGACGTGGGACTTGATCCTGGGACCCCAGGATCACACCCTGGGCCGAAGGTAGGTGCCAAACTGCT